CCTATAAAGGCATATTAAAATGTTTTAACTATTTCTTAAATATGCTGTTAAAAATAAAGCTAATTTGAGCAAATAAACTATCACATACTGGTGAAAGGTCATCCTATTGAAGAAGAATAGTTGGTGTTTTCGTGTTTGTGTGTGTGTGTATAAAATTATAGTTGAAAATGTATTGATTGATTTACTTACATATTTATAAAAAAATATTTACTGAATGCCTACTCTGGGCCAAGAACGTTGTCAATACTGTAACAGTGGGTGGCTCCATGATTAGCAATTTTATTTTTATTGTTTCTAAAACATTGTCTCATTTACTGGAAGAAGTTGGTAAATATTATTATGGAATATAAGAGCTTTGTGCTAAGAAACTTACAGTTTAATTAGGAGACTTAATACAGATGTAAGTGTTTTAAGGGTTTTAAGGGCATGCCAAAAACTTTGAAAATACTAATTTAAAATTGCTATACTCCCCAAACACATGGCATATGTTTGAACAAATTGATCAGAGATAGAGAGAATTCACTACTAGGTTTTCATAAGTAGATTACTTGTGAACAGGAGTTTGGGGAAATTAAATAACATTAAGAGTAGAAAGTAGTGAAAATAAGCATATCACCTGCACCAATTTTGAATGTTGAACTACAGAAGTCAGTCACAGGGACTGGCAAGTTGACTAGGTTATCTGGAAAAAGGAATTGGTTGGGAAATGATAAGAATTGAAGTGAGACGGAGATAGGTGGGTAAGGTGTTCTAAACACTGAGCTGAGGAGTTTGGATTGAATAAGAAAGCCAGTTCAGAGTTTCATAGAATTTTAGAGCCAGGCAATCTTTGATCCTACAGCTTCTCTTTCCCTTCAGAGAAAACTGACTTTAATGAGAGTATTCACGATTAATGGCATTGCTACTTGGGATCAGAACCCAAGATTTTCTGTTTTCAGGGTTTTTTTTTATGTTTGTTTGGGTTTTTTTTCATATACCCTGCTACTTTGTGAAATGATGCCCCATTGACTAGAAGCAGGGGAAACATATGAATGTAATGATAATTTGGAATACTTTGTTAGAATATTTCTACTTTAAATTCTAAAGGAAAGTATTTCTTTTTTTCTTCCTTCTGCCTCTCACTCAACAGCCTCAGATGAATATATTCACTAACCCTTGATGTATGTGGGTCTGTGATGATACCTTTTCTTCCACACAACAGGGTCGAGTCACTACTGGGCAACTCAGGCTTTACTCTCTTCTGCCAAAGGCCATATATCATCCAAACTCCATCTCAGGGCAACTTCCTTCAAGGTCACCCAAAGATGGATGCTCCTCTGATTGGCTGCAGATCTTGGCCCAGTTATGTTGCTGCCCCACTGGCATAACATGGGATCTTCTCACTGGCATCATCCAGAAAATAATGGGTGGCACCTTTGATGGAATTTATGGCTCCTATTCTATTAAAAGCAGTAGACTGTGACTCTATTTAAGGGGAGTTCCATTTGACTTTGGTAGCTACTCAACCATCTCTCAGAGTGCCTGTCGGTTGGAGGAGGATGAAGCCGGCACAGATAGAACTGGTTTCAACATTTATTTCTTCCTTCTTTAAGAGTTTTTAAGATTGTTCTTTATAAGTCATGATTTTGGAAGCTAGCTCAGCCTCTGCTACAGATTCACAGGGTCATTCTTCCAGTCTTTCTAAATATCATATTTTCAGGGAGAGATGAAATGTGGTCATCCTGTAGACTCTTTTAGGACCAGGGAACCACATATGTCCTCCAGAATGGAAGATGGCTGAAGAGGAGGAGTGGAAGATTTCATTTGCTCAATTCTCTACAACCAGATGGAATACTGTCCCAGGTATAGGACTCTTCTCCTTAGTGCATTTTGTCCCCAAGGACAGATAGTCACTCCTAGGGATGTAAAGTCTCTCTGGGCAATTTCAATCTTCTGGTTTCATATGTATTAAATTTCATGGTTGGAAAGCTTTAGAAACATTGATAAGCTTCACATTATCATAGATATCCTGGTTTTCCAAACACCTGAAAAGCTATCAGTTGCCACTGTCATCCAGATTGGCTATTCCTTTGGCTTCAGCTAACCTCATTGTAGTAGACTGAATGGTAGTCTACAAAAAGATTTGTCTAGGTCCTACCCCCAGTACTTGTGGATGTAATCTTATGTGGAAAAAAGGTCTCTGAAGATGTAACTAAGATCAGGAGCTCCAGATGGGATTATCCTGGTTTAACTGGGTGAAGCATTTTATAAGAGAAAAATGCTAACAACAGAGAAGAAAAACAAAGAATATTCTTCAAGGTAGAGGTAGAGATTGGAGTTAGGCAGCTACAAGGTAAGGAGCACAGCACCAGTGATTACCTATAGCCACAAAGATCTAAGGAGGCAAAAAAGGGTTCACCTCTAGGGTCTTCAAAGGGAGTGCTGCCCTGCCAACACCTTGATTTTGAACTTTGGCTTCCAGAACCATGAGAAAAAAATATTCTGCTGGTTCAAGGTATGTTATAGCAGCCCTAGGACACTAATATCCTAGCCTCTGGAAACATGGAGTGGTCTGATGGGGACTCACGTCTCAGCTGGCCTGGCCCTGAAGAGGGCCTCTTGCTTCCTGGGTATGTACCTTCTGCCCCAACTCTGCATAGTTATCCACTCAGCTCCACATCATTCCACCACATTCATGGAAATCTCTGGCATCTGACTCACTCCTTATCTATATCATGGCTTCTCACAACTGTTGGTGTCTTCAGTATCCATGTGAAAGGTCTTTTCAGTACCTTAGTCTCTAACTTCTTGATCTTCATTCTGTGTCAGCCAACCTTACTCATTTTTCTTCCATAAACCATGTCATCACTACTACTAGAGCTTTCAAGAAAACTATCTCACCTTGGCTACAGCTTATTTTCCTCTTCCTCATTTGATTTATATCCGTAGCTCCTTAACATCTTTTTATCTCCTTTTTTTATGTTTCTACCTATTCTCCTATTTAGTATTACATTAATCTCATGGCTCTGTCCTTCAACTACTCTCTTAGTAATGGCAGCCAAGTTTTTTTTAGTATATGTGCTGCCGAAGCGAGCACGCCAAGTTTTCTTCTTATCTTTCCATCAGATCATTTGGCAAAGCCCCAAAGTTGATTAAACTTTCTGCATTTAGATTCATATATTTTATAAAAATTCACACAACTTTGTCCAACTACTACTACTAGTAACACCAGTTCCTGGACTCAAAAGTACTTCTTTGGACTAATGGTCAGGTTCTCTCTCCCGGTCTTAGCAACAGTTACTGCAAACCTTTAGGCTGTTTACCTGATGGCATCATCTCTCTTACTTTCCTGTGAGAGACTATCAAAAATATTCAATCAACTTTAAGTAGACAAAAGCACTCAATAGAGTTTTCTTAAGTCATTATTTTCTCTTAATTGAAGGAAGTAAAATTACATTTTTCATTTAAAAACTGCATTTAAGCACTTGGTTTGTGCTATTCTAGCTAGTGAGGATATAGTGTTTACAGAACATGCATTCAAGTGGTTCTGATTATTTCAAATACGTAATTTAAAAGTATATGAGTAAGGACTAATGATATTATCAAATTTAACCCAAAATACAAGGTTAACAAAACAAATTTTGTGAGTATAAGGAATACAGTTGCAGAATCATAAAAATCCAACCATCATGGTGTAACTCATATATCTAAATATTTTAGTATCATTCTCTATTATAGGCTATCTAAAATGAATAGGACTTAGAATAATTTGCCTTAATAATATTTATAATATATTTGATACACAAATATACTTGATAATGTCAAATAATAAGCTTTGAAGTTACACAAAAATATAAATCTCAATCCCTTATTAATATTTGAACAACCACACAAGTAACAATGTTCTTAGAAAATAAGACATACAGGTCAGAATTTAGAAAAATCACAAGCTTTAGTAACAGAGTTTAAATTTTAAAAAGTTGATCAACCTCAAAGGCAGAAAGACCTAAGCTCAAAAACTGATCTGCAGTCTTCTTAGCTATTTCACTTTATTCAAACCTTATCTAACTTTGCTGGGCCTTGGTTTCTTAAATGAAAATAGTGATGATTATTACTACATTGTGAGGATAAGAATATTAAATAACTTAAAGGGCCTGATTGTAGCACCATTAGAAGATATTTTAAATCAAATATTTGCCTGATCGTATTTTTGTATCTCACATAGCTTTTGCGTAAAAAGGAAATTTAGACATAGTCAGTAGTGAAGTGGCAGGTATCATAGGTCTTGGTTAGGAAGCCAGAGCAGAATGACAATGAGAATATTGGTACTAAGATTTTGGCGATCTCAGGACTTTAATGAGGACAAACCAGAGAACTGTATCTTAGTTTTTTCAGCGGTATTGTCATCCATTTAATATGGCTTTTAAAGGACGCAATGAAACCTTAATAAGGACCTCATTTTTCCTTGTGAGAACCTGAAAACAAAACTGGATATGGCATTGTTATCTATTTTTCTTTGCCTAAAAGTTGTCGGCATTGCAAGTTGCTTCCCAATCTGTTAAAATAATCCGCTAATAAACCCGAAGACCCAGATTCCGGGTGCAGCTAAGAAAACTATGCACATTCCTACCTTCTCCAAACAGCCACGAGTAGTTCAAGACGCAACTTTAAGGACACTTGGAGAATACACCCCCAGGAGGACACGATGGGTCGGACCGACAAGTTGTAGCTTCTGGGAACTGGGAGAGTGGCGAAATTCCTGAACTCACATCAAACGAATTCTTAACAGAACCTGAACAGTCATCCAGGGGAACTGAGAGTGGCGGGCGGGGAGGACAGTGGTTCTGTGACGATCTCAGCAGTCGTCTGTTAACACGCTTGCAGGAGAGTCCTGCGTCGGGCACCAACCGGGAGCCACTGTCGCTCTTCCTCTCGAGCCTCAAGGCGCCCGAGGGCTACACCGCGTGGGGATACCAAGGAGGGGGTGGGGGAGGGGGTGGGGGGCGCTCTGCGCCGGGGGCGGGTCCAGGCCGTCGCTCCCTCCGCCCCCAGGAGTCACTGCCACCTCCCGGCTGCGCCTCAGCCCAGCAGCTGCGACGCGGCCGCATCCCAGTGGACGGTGGAGGCAGCAGCGAGCCGGAGCCCGCGTCGCAGCTCTCGGTCACCGGGAGGCTGGGCGAGCCCGCGCGCGAGGACACCTGGCCCAGGCTCGGCGCGGAGCTCTGCGCGCGGCTGGTAACGTACCGGGTGGAGGGGTAGCGGGGGTGAGCGTGGCTGGTGCGAGGAACTGGGGAAAGGATTCAGGGAGTCGGGGGAGACTGAGGGAGACGGGGGAGACTGAGGGAGAGAAGACGTGGGAAGTGCAACTTTCCCGTTTTCCGCTCAGTCTGCACAGGCACCGGGGAATTCAAAGCAGGTGCCGGGTGTGCTAGAGCGACCACATCATTGGCACGCAAACTGAGGTACCGTTAGGGTGTAAGGGGGCGCTGAGGTCCACAGGCACAGCCAGGGAGATCTGGCCACGTGCCTTTTGCCGAGTCTCCCCTGAAGGTGGTCATCAGTGACCTCCTGTCCTGAGTTGTTGAGCCCTTAGCCCCTCTCGCCGACAGTGCCACGTCGTTTTCCTTGGGCTGCGCGTTCCGAGCCCCAGGCAGCTGCTGGCGGCCCCCGGATCAGCAGAGACGCGAGTTCTAACCGGCTCTGCCAGCGCCAGGCTCTGTGGCTTTGGTCAACTCACCTCACCTCACTAGTCTCCGTTCATTCTTGGACAAAATCCGGGACTGATGAGACCGCATGATTCTGAGGCTTCCCCGAGCCTGGGACTTCTGCCCGGGAGGGACCCGGGTATAATATGTTCGCAGGGGCTTAGGAGATGGAGGGCGTGGGTCCTGCTTGCTGCTGCTGTAATCGCTTGGGGAAGCACCTGAAAGTATCTTCTGGGGGAGAGGGCCCATCTGCCGCTGCCGGCTCCCTGCAGAGTAAGGCAGAGACAGACCGGCCTGTCCCGTATTGGTAGAACTCATCCCAGGGAGCGCAACTGAACTCGGTTCCTTTGGAAAGCGCTTAGCATGAGCTGCGTGAACGGGAAACACTTACCCCCCCTCCCCCCCAAAAAACCTTCAGGTATTACTAATCGGAGTCTGTGCAGGACAGAAAGTAGAAATTCGAGGCGGGAGACCACTTAAATATCCACTTAGGGAAAAAAAATAAAAAACTACAAACATTAACGGTTTGGATACTGAAAAAGAATTGGATAAAAATTACTGTGAGCATTGCGTCTCTCTTTATGTACATGTGGATTCAAAATTTGTCTCTCCACTTTATCTCTTCACAAGATGCCTTTCCTCACACCGGCGTTTCTAAACATTAAAAAAAAAGTTCTTCTGGGATTTAATATTCAGAAAGCTCAGAATTTGGGTAGTTAAAATGAGATCTGATGGCCATAAAGCTCACAGAAAGTACTACTGGGGTGGATTCTGGATCGAGGTTGGTTAGGCCAACATTTTGAAAAGCTTTTTTGTTTCCTACTGATACGATCCATACTGGAATGTCTCTCTGCTGATACTACCGCAAAAAAGTTCATTTTCTAGGAAGATGTTTTGGAAGATAAAGTGATTTAATTTTGAAGCAACGTATGATTTTGTGGGTGGAAAAGGTCTTTAGTAATTGCCTTTAGTCTTTGCCACATCTTTCTACAACAAAATATCGAAGGCTAATGGGATACCTTATGCAAGAAATTTTAAAATGTGTCACATTTCATTGTGTTAAACAATTCTCCTCTTTAGTCAATTTTAGACTAGAAATTTAGATTTTTAGAAATTTATCCCTTTCATTGATTTTTAAGAAAAAAAATCACTAAGTTGTGAAAACATTACCAGAACTCAGTTTTTAGAACACTTTCACTACCCCAAACAGATCCCTCATGTCCATTTATGGTTAATCTCTGTTTTCACTCCCAATCACTAGTCTCTTTACAGTTTCTATAGATTTGCCTTTTCTGGACATTTCTTATAAATGGAATCATACAATATGTCATCTTTTGTTTATGGCTTCTTTCACTTAGCATAATGTTTTTGAGGTTCATCTATGTTGTAGCATGTATCAGTATGTCACCTCTCCTTTTTAGTGAAAGGACATTTGGGTTGTTTCCTGTTTGAGGCTATTATGAATCAGGATGCTAAGGACTATTTCATGAAAGTCTTAGTGTGTACATATATTTTCATTTCTCATGGGTAGTCATCAGTGGAATTGCTGAGTTGTATGATAAACTTATGTCTAACTTTTAAAGAGCATTATAGACTGATTTTTAGATAGAAGTTATATATTTACAAAATGTAGAAAATTCTGGAGAAATAAATGTTTCTTTCTGGATCAATATGATTTGATATACATACATATATATATATATATATATATGTAGAGAGAAGGTTGGGAGAGGAAACACTTTGCTTCCTCTCAAATTTAGAGCTCAAATAATTTTGAAAAAAGGTATTATTTCTCAGAAATAAAATATTTTTAAATACAATTTTTTTGGTAACAGTTTTAGATTCAAAGTAAAATTGAAAGGAAGGTACAGAGATTTCCCATATACCCAGGACCCCCCCCCCCACGACATGCATAGCCTCCTCCATTATTAAAATTGTCCACAGGAGTGGTACATTTATTACAATGGATATACCTACACTGACACTTGTAATCGTTTAAAGTCCATCATTTACCTTAAGATTCACTCTTGTACATTCTATGCACATTGTTTGGGCAATGACAGGCATTCATCATTACAATATCATACATAGTCTTTTCATTGCCCTCAAAATCCTCTGTTCTCCATCTATTCATACCTTTCCTCAATTTCTTTTTTTTTTAATGCTTAATGAGAGTAAATCAGGCTTAATCAAGACTAAATTTCCTTCTATGTCCATTGAAAATGGAAAGAAAGAAATTTGAAAATTATGTTTTAAAATGTTGATGAGACTTAGACCTTAATGGCCTGATAATAAATCCAATGGTGTTCCATTCCCAATACAAGATTTTAATTGAATTAAAAAACAATTTTTCTGAATATAAAAGCTCTAAAATCCTATGATAAAATAAGCTTCCTTAACCATGATGGCACATAATTCTTTTAAATAATAATTAAACATATTCTATTCTTAGATGTGGATCTCTAAGGCCCATGATTGCATATTTGTGATGTGTATAAAAAAAACCACATATTGAGGATAAATCTAGAGCTCCTGTATTCCTATTCTAAAACTTGCCATTAGTACAGTGCTTTTCTGAATCTTACTAGTCTCAGAAATTTTTATGTTGATATGCTCTATGTACTTTTTAGAAGTCATTATCAGTTGGTAACATTACATAAAAAGAACTCCAGGTTAATAATCTGAATGTATCAAAAGTAGTTATTATCTTTTTTTCTATTGGATATACAACTGATTTTGAGAACTCAAGTAATCTACTCTTCACTGAAGTGAGATATACTCTTTATCCCAGTTCTCAATGGCAAAAGCAGTTTTATGCCCAGGTATGGCTTTATAAATTTTTTTAATGTTTTATTTATTTCTGAGAGAGAGACAGAGAGAACGAACATGATCAGGGGAGGGTCAGAGAGAGAGGGAGACACAAATCTGAAGCAGGCTCCAGGCTCTGAGCTAGCTGTCAGCACAGAGCCCGATGCGGGGCTTGAACCCATGAACCATGAGATCATGACCTGAGCTGAAGTCGGATACTTAACCAACTGAGCCACCCAGGCGCCCTCCCCTCCTTTTTTAAAATTTTTAATGATGGTTTTATTAAACAGAGTGGATTTGTGTCCTCCAGACACTCCTACTTCTAAAATGTGATGGTGTGCAAGAGTTGGGTATTTAGTTGCAAAAGAAGTTTAGATACATCTAAGGATAAAATAATTTGGATTTGTTATACTGTTATACCGTATTCCTGAACAGGAAGAGATAATCTCACCTGGAATCCTGGATCAGTTAGAATAGGATTTCTCAGACTGGAAAGAGTGTCAAGGAAATGGAGACACTTTGAGATTACATAGTTAGGAGCCAAGAAAGATTGAACTTGTTTGCAGCAATTATAGGCAAAATAAATGGAGCTAATTTTGTCTTCTAACTCTTAAATTCTCCCTGCCCATAGCCCTACTTCCTACTAAGCCCTAAAATCTACGATGTTGATGAAAAAGAATATCTACTTGGGAATATGGAAATCACCATGGTTAATTCTAAGACTTTCATTTTTGGGATGAAATAAAGGGGAAACTGAAGTCCAGTGTGATAGTTTCAGGAATAAAACCATGGAAGTCAGGGAAGAGTTAAGCAGTCTTTCCAAGCATGCGTCCACTTATTGACTATAAAATTTTTTATTTCTAGACTAATCTTTATGGGCTGGGCTAATATGTCTCAGAAAAAAACAATATTTTTAAAAATCAGTGTGTGTGTGCGTGCACGCACATGCACGTATATAACTAAGAATGGCTTACAACTCATGTAATTATATTAGTTTATTATGTTTGTTTATTTTAAAGCTGAGAATAAGTACTTCTCTCGTAGAGTCTCTGGAACCAATGTACACTATTAAATTTCAAAACACTGAAATAAGCCCCTCTTGTCTGGTTTTCCCAAAGAAGCCTTGAAATCTAATAAATAGCTAGATTGTAGATATGATGAATTTCCCACATTCTAAAGCTTTATAAAGAATCCACAAAGCCAAAAGAAGTTATAAAGTCCAGAGCTTCCACAGAAACCACTCGCCTCTTAGTTCCTACTTCCCTGAAGAAGGAGAGCTTTCATAATTGTGTGCATTGCAGTAAAGAAGCAGTAAAAAAAAATAATAAAAGCAACTCTACTTCTAATATGCCATGATTGTATGTATGTATTTATATATACTCTCGTAACTCTGACAAGGTTGGATTTGAGGGAGGTTGGACAGACTCATGTAGTAGCCCCAGAAGGAGATGCTAAAGAGTAAGTTGGGGATTTGAGATGACGAATTAAAGATGAACAAGAGAATATGAAGTCTAGAAATATTAGAAGCTGAAGATGATCGGGTTTGACAAGTGAGATATGAAGTTAGAGAGAGGTGGGAGTAAAGAGTGCTTTTCAGAGTCTTGGCTTGAGGTTTGAGGCAATATAAGAATGAGGGCAGATTTGGCAGATTTACTGGGTTGGATAATGTCTCCTCAAAATTCATGCACTTCTTGGATTTTCAGTATGTAAGCTTATTTAGAA